AGGAGCAGCGGGAGGAGAGCAGAGGCGCGGAGCGGGAGACCGCCGAGGGAGACGGAGGGCGGTTGCTCCAGCTGCTCCTCTCCGCTGCACACCAGCGGCAGAATGCGCGGCTCGTGGCGAGGCTCGACCCGCTCATGCGGCGGCTCGGTGGCTCACTGGACGGCGGTGCGGCGGGGCCGGTGCCCGCCGCCCGCGCCGGTGTCCTCTTCACACCTCCAGGTGTGAAGTGCTGCTTCACACCGCCGAGCTGTGAACAGGTGCACGCCGACCGCGCCGCGATGCTCGCGCGGCTGGCGAGCCACGGCTGGCGGTTGAGAAGGAGTCATGCACCGTTCATAATGGGAAGTGATCACGAACAGGTGAGTCACGGCCAGGCGGGGCTCGCTCTCACCTTCTCCGGCGCGGACCGGGCTCTGCAGGCGCACCTGCTGCAGCTGCTGGCTGAGTGAGGGAAACAACTCACCGAGGACCCACTCCTTAAGCTGCAGGCGCACCTGCTGCAGCTGCTGGCTGAGTGAGGGAAACAACTCACCGAGGACCCACTCCTTAAGCTGCAGGCGCACCTGCTGCAGCTGCTGGCTGAGTGAGGGAAACAACTCACCGAGGACCCACTCCTTAAGCTGCAGGCGCACCTGCTGCAGCTGCTGGCTGAGTGAGGGAAACAACTCACCGAGGACCCACTCCTTAAGCTGCAGGCGCACCTGCTGCAGCTGCTGGCTGAGTGAGGGAAACAACTCACCGAGGACCCACTCCTTAAGCTGCAGGCGCACCTGCTGCAGCTGCTGGCTGAGTGAGGGAAACAACTCACCGAGGACCCACTCCTTAAGCTGCAGGCGCACCTGCTGCAGCTGCTGGCTGAGTGAGGGAAACAACTCACCGAGGACCCACTCCTTAAGCTGCAGGCGCACCTGCTGCAGCTGCTGGCTGAGTGAGGGAAACAGCTCACCGAGGACCCACTCCTTAAGCTGCAGGCGCACCTGCTGCAGCTGCTCGCCGTCTCAGGGCACGCACACGAGTCGGCCTCGCTCGCCGAACATCTGGGCGTGTCTCCCCCCGCTAGTGCCGCCGCTGCTCCCAGCGGCACTGCTCTCGGCGGCGGCCTGCTAGCTTGCGCTCCAGGCATCGGCAGGCATGGCACCGCGGCGGCGGGCTGCAGCGCCGGCGGCGAGCATGCGCCTCGCCAGCTGCCGCCGTACACGCTTCCTGCAGGGACCGAGGTGGCGAGCTATGAGGGGGCGGCGCAGTCCGGGTTGGCCGACGCCGCAGTCGCCTCGCTCCACCTCGCGGCGAGGGCGAGCCGGTTGCCAGTAGTCGGGGTCGATGCCGAGTGGGTTGCGGGGCGAGCGGTCTCCGTGTTGCCGCTGGAGAAGCAGTGGTTCGTTAGTAGTCATTGATGGTTAACAACCGATAGGCGAGCCGTCGGCCTGCACAGTTGGGTAATTAGTGATGAATCGTTAGTGATGAATGATTAGTAACCGATAGGCGAGCCGTCGGCCTGCTGCAGCTGGATAATGAGTCATTACCTATTAATCATTGATGACTAATAAGTATTAGGCGAGGAGTCTCTCTGCTGCAGCTGGCCGCGGGAGGGAGGCACGCGATGCCGTCCGCCGGCCTCACTCTGAAAGATTGGCGGACCGCTGCTGAGGAGTCTTGCGAGCGAGCAGGTGCTTGCTGCTGCGCCTGCACTCGCTGGCGTGGCCGCAGGCGCTGACTTCCCTGCTCTCCGACGCTTCCGTGCTCAAGGCTGCGCCGGGGTAGGGCAGCGGGACCTTGCACAGCAGCCCCGTCGTCTCAAGTCGCGGCCGTGCTGACGTAGGCCGGGGTGGGGATCGGGCAGGACTTGAGGCTGCTGCGAGAGCAGCACGGCTCGAGGGCGGCCGCTGTCGTCGACCTGCAGGCGTTGGCGTCGCGCTCTGGTTTCCATGGCGCGGGCCTGCGAGCCCTAGAAGCAAAGGAGGGTCCTCTTGTACTCCAACCGGCGGTCGAGGGGACACGTGCTCCGCAGCACTCGTACCGCACTCCGCCGGACTCATTGTATCTGTGTCGCTCGTGCTCACTCAGCGCTCTGAAGACTCTGCACAAGACCGTCCTCCCGCCCCGAGGCTGGCGTCTCCTCCACGTAGGTCTCACACCGGCTCTCGCCACAGAGGCACCCCCCTCCCCCCCCTCC